ACACACACACACACACACACACACACACACACACACACACACACACAGCCCAGCACACATTCAGAGAAGCGCGCACCAGCAAGGCAAGGACACACGCGCGCTCACAGGCCCACGAGTTTTAAGGCCTTGCGCACCCACCCGGGACGTTCACATGCGTGACGACCCAAGGGGGCCCCAGCAGCCATCCACACCGCACTCACCTGGCGCGGACGCCCACGCGCCCCGGCTTCGCGCGCCAACCTCGCGGGCGGGCCCGGGGCCAGCGCGCGCCACCGCATGGCCGCCCCTGTGGTCCGGCCCCCCAGTCCACGGCCGAGCGCGGGGCACGGACGGCTCAGGGTCCTGCGTGGGCAGGGCGGGGGGGGTCTCGTCCGTCTCAGCCGGCTCTGCAAAAGCTCCTGCCGTCAGAAGTCAGACGCCGGGAACAAAAGCCAGGCGCGAGTGGCGCGCCCCGCGCGGCCCTCCTCCATCTGACACGAATTAGCCCGCCCTCCCCCGCAGACCGCAGCCCAGAGCCGGGGCACCGTTGCTCAGCCAGACGCGGGAGAAGTGGGCGACGAAACGCCTTCCCGCGGGGGAGGGAGGGGTCGGCGTGGGGGGACGCCTCCCTGCCGCCATCTGACTGGAATTACCGACGCTTGGCTCGGGGTTCGGCATTACTAGGATTTCAAACCTCTAGGCGTGCTGGCCCCGGGGCTTAAGAGAATCAAAACGCAGCAGGTTCCCAGGGCTTTTGGCATTTCAAAATCTTGACTAGTCTCCAGTCCACTCAGCATCTGCCCTGGGAAGTATTTACCGGTAATCGACACTAGGAGTGCATTTGAAGTAGGGAGAGGGAAAACGCTGAGGCATAGGGGACTTTATACTAGTTTGCTTCTAAGGCTTTAAAATTAAAGGGGGTGAGCTTGCTGGGGTTTCAGGCAAAGCCCAAAGCAAGTGACCTGCCTACTTTGCATCCTCGATGGGATGGATGGGTGCCCATTCTCCATCTCAATGCCTTCAGCTTCTGGACAATCCTGACAAATAGCATCTCAGTCTTTTCATCCTTGGTCTGGGATTTCAGAAAGACCTTAGAAATCTAGAGGGGGCGAGAAGGGGGGGGGGGGGATGAAGTCCCTGGGGTGGAGGAAACTCAAACCAGGAGCCTGGAAAGTGCGAAGGTCACTCTAAAAAGCCATGAGGATACACGCTCTTGACAAAGAAGCCCTTCTCCTTCTCCAGGCCTGTTAACCTACACGAGCTATGTCCTTGAAAGCAATTTCAATAGCGGCTTCCAACAAGGCAAGTCTAACATCCCAGACTGGGGAGAGGTTACCTTGAAGATGGATGAGTTCAAGCTGAAGCAATTGTAGCAGAGGAGATCCCTGCAATGGAGTACCAGGGTACTTAGCATGTAGCTCTAAGCCTGAAGGCTCAGTGCCCCCTGGCACCAAGCCCAACCCATGTGGCATTCTAATAGCCTGCAGTGTCCCAGAGCCCAGTCTCTGTGAATCTCACACTCTAACTTGGAGTCTGTGTGCCCAAATGCCTTAGATGGGAGGGCAGTCTGGGTGGGCTGCATGGGCCTTTATGGTTACCACATGTGCAAATTCCAGCCATCAATTCAAGCTCTCAGGTTCTGGCACTAAGTATCCATCCTTCGCTTTCTGCAGTGGAGTAGCGGTGGCTGCTCTTCAAGTTTGAACTACAAAACTAAAAGAAAGAGAGAAAACCAAAACTTTGCCTAAGATACACACCATCTTAGGCTACTAAGAGCCATCCTGGGCTCCAATTCTTCATGCAGTTATCATCACCAAGCAGACACATGAGTTCTTTTCCCCTCCCCCTCAAATGAGATCATTACTTATTTTTCTCTGCATTCACCTTTCACTGTTTCAGTGTCCCTTCTTCCTTGTTTTCTGCATCCACTTATTTAAGCCTTACTTTTTATAAGTCATATTCCTACATGCACCATCTCTAGCCTCTACTGACTGGGGTTTCCTGAGAATAGGAGTAATGCAATCACTTGTCTAACCCAAGACAAGGTAGGAGGCAGTGACTCTCCTGCCTAGCAGCTGTGCAAGATGCAAGCCCTTCTTCGGCAGGCTGGCCACATCAGCCACAAGCCTTACTAATATGGGTGCTGACAGACCCAGCAGAAGGAATCTGAATTCAGAAATGAAGGCACAGGGCCCTAAAGCGATAGCGCTCTCTGAGGGAGAGCATGGGCTCCGCACACCCTGGGGTCCACACAGAATTATCACTAAGAGGCAGGCGCTGCCAAATGTGGCAGCTCGTGTCTGTGATCCCAGCAGCAGGAATACCAAGACATCACTCAGGCCTGCCACACAGGAGGCAAACATCAGAAGGTGGCTCTTTATTACAGGTGTACCTGAACCTGCAGGAAGTTATTTAAAAGAATACACCATTCAGAAAACGCCTACTCTTTATTATAGTTATAAACTATGTGAATGTGATACACTTTCCAGCTCATGACAACAACATGGATTGTCTCAGCCCCAAGGACCCTGGACAAAGTCCAAAACCTTGAAACCAGGAGACTTGCCTACAGTCTCTTCATCAGGCTGCCCCTCTCCCATCCATCTTCTTGGCCTCCCCTGATCCCTCAAGCAGGTTCCCATTTGGGCTCCAACCTCTCAGTTCCTTCCATTGTGAGCTGTGGGCTCTCTTCTGACTTCTGTTCCCTTTCTCTTTTCTACCTGACAATGAGTGCTTTTTCTGAGCTCCACTGAAGATCCACCTCCCACCTCCCCAGTGGTTAATAATCTCCCTCCCCTGAGTGGAATTCATGGCAGAGGAAATCCCTCTTCATTTGCTCATCTGTACACTGCAGCAGTGCTCGGTGGAGTATGAACGCGGATGAGAAAAGGTCCGTCAGTGTCCTGCTCCCTGGCCACCAATGCTGCTCACTAACACCCTTCTCCACATCCTAAGAAAGCTGTGGACAGACAGATCCATGGGGGCTGGAAAATCCAGACGCAGCCAGCCCTTCTGGTGGCTGATGACCACCTAACACTTGAATGGCAGACTCATTTCATCCCCGCTCTGCAAATAACAGTGAGAGACATCTTTCTCCCCAGCCTCCTGTTTTCTTTCTGTTTTGTCCCATTCCTTGAGGCTTCCCGTTGCCCAGATTGACTTCTCCTTGGCTTCTGACTATACCTGCTCCCCAGGAGCATTCTTTTTACAAAGGCAGAAGGAAAAGCTACACAACCAAAGGAGACATCATTTTGGTAGCCCTCGGGAAGAGAGGTTATATGTTATCCAAGAATTAAAAACTCAGACTGGCCGGATGGTGGAGGCACTCATAGGAGGCAGAGGCAGGCATATTTCTTTGAATTTGAGTTCAGCCTAGTCTACAGAGCTAGTTCCAGGACAGCCAAGGCTACAGAGAAACACTGTTTTGAAAAAAAAAAAAAAAAAAAAGAAAGAAAACTAGGGCTGAATTGAGGACATGTGCCCATAAGCAGCCAAATTTTCTCATGTCAAATCTGTGGTTCCCTTGGAAAGATGTCACTGTGGTCTAGAAGCTGCTGTTACACTCACTCATTCATGCGTTCACTCGTTCAGCTGCAGAATCATTTCCTGAGGAGTCCATGAGCACATACCATCAGGAGGGAACAGTGTCCATGCATGATGTAAGACCTCAGTTCGTGGGCTGAGATCTGGAAGGGGTGGACATTTCCCCAGGCACCAGAGGAAGTGAGGATGTGTTTGGATTAGTAGGCCAGACATGACAGCTAATGTGAAGCCAAAGCTGTATGTAGACAGGGTGCAGGAAAGATGTTGGGGAGCTAAGCAGAATGGCAGAAAGCAGTGACAGGAGGAACCCCAGCTAAGCCAGGCTGGACCCCAAGTTATGTGGAGGTTACAGCAGATGCTAAGCTAGGAGCACTAGGAAGATCTCCCGGAAGAGCAGCTGTGGCCATGGAGAACAGTCTGGAGTGTGTGCAGGGATGGTTTTCAGTCTTAGGGGAGAGTCACAGCAGGGTGCCCTCTGGCAACAGCAGGCCTGGAAATGTGAAATGTGAACACAAGGTGACAGGGAAGAGACGTGATGAGAAACTGGATACCTACAGGAAGACTAAGCCTGGAGCCTCCTGTCTTATTTGGAGAAGAGAGAACATTGTACAGGAGTCAGACACAGTGGCGCAGCAGCAAATCCCATCCCCTGGCATAGGTACACTGAGAAGTGAAAGCAGCACAAACAGACACCACCAGCTCTGTCCACAGGGGTCAGGATTAGAGAAACAGAGCCCTGTGTCAAGGTCTCACCCACAGGAATGACAGAAGACCACACCACAAGGACATGGGAGTCAGTCCAAAGAGGTTCCTACTGGCCAAACCTCAAAGGGTTCTAGCTGCAAAAGAAATAGTGAAAATACTGTATTGCAAACCACTGGTAATGGAGTCCTTGAATCTCCACTGTTACAAATAAAATGGTCAAAGACTGCGAAGTTAGCACCCCCCACCTGGTAGGGCAAGGAAGGGATGAGCCCTGAGAAGACAGGGTTAGACTGTACAGAGTTTGTAAGGGAGGGTTAAGACCAGCTTCCACCCATCCTGGGGAGGCCACTATGGGGTCACGCGCAAAAAGAGATATCCTCTAGCACCCATCTCCTTGGAGAATAGAGAACCCTACACACAGTACCTTCATTGTAAAAGGGGAAAAGTCTAAGATTGAGAAGGTGGTAGACAGCCCATGTCAATCAAGAGGTTAGGATGACTATGGCCTTGGATCAGGCAATCCTTTGCCAGTGCTAACAACAAGCTATGGAGCTCTTATCTCCAGAAATCCCGAAGCCTGGCTTTCTCTCCTTGTCCCAAGGCCCTCAAATCTGGGCCTTGCTCAAGCACAGACCTGGGTCAAACCCTCTCTTGGAATATCTTCCTTCTTCCCCATTTCCTAGTGCATCCAGCTTTTGTTCCATCCCACCTACAGAGGAACATGACGTGCCTGCCACGGTACTGACCACAAGTCACTATGCCCTGACACCTTCTACCCCCCAGAGTCCTTGGAGGGTCCCAGAGCCTTCTCTACCTCACTAACATGGCAGAGCCTCTCTAAGAATATGGGGCACAAGATCTCATGGGTTCACTCACTGTTGAGTCAAGGACACACAACCAGGAAGCAGTTCCTGATCCCCCTACAAGCCTTCCCCAGAAATACACTAAAAACAGTAAGTACACTTCGAAGAGCCAGAGAACAAACTAAAGATGTTACATTTAAGGTGTGACCCAGGATATGTGGTAGGAAAGTGATTGTTACCACCAAGATGAATGTGGGACAGCAGCCTATGTGTTGCCATCCTTAACACCGCTTTCCCCTAAGGGACACTTTTCCTCAAAAATTCTGCCTGAGCATCCACTGCATCTGGGAGGAA